AATGATGGTGAATGATGTCTAATAATGGTGAATGATGGTCAATGATGGCCAATGATGTCTAATGATGGTGAATGATGGTGAATGATGTCTAATGACCGTGAATGATGTGTAATGATGGTCAATGATGGTCAATGATGGTTAATGATGGTCAATGATGGTGAATGATGGTGAATGAATGTCAATCATGGTCAAAGATAGTGAGATGTCTTATGACGGTGACTGACGGGAATGAAGGGGAATGGTGGCGAATGATGGGGAAGGACACCCAATGACAGCAAATCATGCCAAATCACATAAATACAAGAAAAATATATATAGTCCGAATTGGCAGTTTGGTGTATATAGAACATGAACGTATTACCACAAAACACACCGCGAACAGACCGACGGGAAATATGAGCCAGCGATCCGCCTGAACAGCTGCTGAACAACACAGGAGGCCCAAATAAGTGACTTTTTATAATGAAGTTTATTCATAATAATTCATAATAAAAAATGCAAAAAATATAAGACGAATATTAATTTAAAGATTATGAAATATTAATATTATGGAATCTTAACGATTAATTTTTATGGCTTTTTTCAATCTCAAAAAATAAAAGGCATTGGAGGGGAATATAAAAATGTAAGTTTATACTTTAGTTGGGAAGTATAGCGTAAGAATTTTATGCCATATTATATTTGATTATTAAATTTAATTACATTTATGAAAAGCAGCAAAATATTTATTTTGTAGTAATAATTAATTACAAGTATGAAAGCAAGGCTAAGGGACGCTATTTGATTTCTAAATGAAGTATATCCCTTGACAGACAGACATTCATTGAGAACATCAACATCAAATGAAGAAAAAAGACTTGATAAAACGGTGACTTAAAAATCTCGATTGCAAAATTTAGTCATTGGGAATCCTAGTTTAGTATTCAGTTGATAGACCTATTCAGTGGATGAATACAATAGATTGAATGAATTATGGAATATTGCCAAGTCTTTATCACTTGATATTGTGATACTACTGACATGAAGGTCGATGGTTCGATGCATGGATATACTAAAAAATACCGAAAATCCGATAAACCTTTCTTTACGAGGAACGTATTTCTACCAAGGATGCGTCTAAAGACAAGGACTGTATTCCTAGTGGCGGTTCTTTTCGCTGCTTTCCTCGTCTTCGTTAGCTCACAGATATGGACTCGATACCGTTCAGAAGATGATGGATTCTCAACTGACAGACATCATTCTGGTTCAAAAAACGTTATTCGTGTCCTAAACAATTCAGCATCTCCTTTAAAAACAGACCTAAAGTGCCGTATGTTCTCCTGTTTCGATATCTATCGCTGTAAATTCAATGAGAATAGTTTAATAAGTGTTTATGTTTATCCGTTTAATGACTATGTTGATGGAAAAGGAAACAGAATCCACATGAAGCCAGTTTCCCAACAGCTTTATGAACTGCTCACTGCTATAAAGCGTAGCAGTTATTATACAAGTGATAGAAAAAGTGCTTGTATTGTTGTTCCTTCTATTGACTTGCTAAATCAAAATAGAATGGATTTGACTTCTGTACAAAATATGCTGTTAAGCTTGCCCAGGTGAGTAAAGTCAAGGAATTCATTTAACCAGGGCCCAGTTGTATGAAGCCTGGATAGCACTATCCAATGAATAAATCTTATCCAGTGGATCAATTTATTGGAAAACAGCATCGACTTATCCACTGGATAAGGATTTATCCACCGGATAGCGCTATCCATGCTTCATACAACTGGGCCCAGAGGGATGGGGTGGTAATTTCCTACACAGGTATGTGCAGCCAAGCAGGGTATAGTTTCCAGCCATTCTACTATGGAACAGGGTATATTTTTAATCTCTCTGGAACGAGGCATATGAAATCTGGCTCTCTCTCTCACTGTCTGGAATAGGGTATCTATTTTTGCAAGTACCAGTACAGGGTTTATTTGTATACGTCAGGGTACGGTTTTCAGTGATTTTACTCTGGAACAGGGTATGAAGTTAAGAGACTTTATTCTGGAACAAGGCCAGAGTTCAGAGGGCTCAGTGGCACATTTCTACCCTAGACAAGCAAGAGGTCCCCCCTGTAAATTATTATACACAAAAGTTCTATAAGGGGAAAATATTACAGCCAAATTAAACCAATAAAGTTTATGGTGTACACAAAGTTGTTGTGACAAAATAGGGTTTTAATGGATGTCAACCAAAATGTTTCCATGACATTGTCAGAAAACACAAAGTTTTCAAGGGAACCTGTCTATGGAATGTCATGAAAACACCTTGATTGACATCCACCAAATCATACTTTGCCAATTCTGCATGTGCAAAAAAACACACATTGTTATTGAACTTTGGCTTAGATGACATACATCTTGACCATAAGATTTTTTTCTTTGAGTGACATTCATTTAACATATCTTCAAAGCCATTACTAATAATACTCAAAAGGTATAAATGGGAAAGCATTACAGCCTAATTAACTGAAAAGGTTTTCAAGTTCTCCTACATGATTCCCCTACTATTACAATGATTCTCTAATTTGATTTCCATTTTACTTTAGTTGGACACAATCAGGTCAAAATCACCTGATATTCAACATGCTACCAGGTGGCCACCCTGATTATAACACATCTTTAGATCTTCCTCTTGGAAAAGCTATCCAAGCAGGGGGAGGCCTGTCAACATGGACATACAGACCTGAATATGACATTAGCATTCCAGTGTACAATGTCCTTACCAATAAACAAGTAGCATTAGCTCAAAACAGGTATGTGTTATCAATATAGATTATATAGGGAGCCTAGTAAATAGGTCTTTTGTTTCTCATGTGCTTCACATTTAAATCCCTCATGCTCTAAGTAAACTAGTACTAAGTAAGATGCGATGGGATTTCTCTTATTATCTATCCATTCATCCACCCACCCACTTATCTATCCATTCATCCACTCACCCACTTATATATCTATCCATCCATCCATCCACTCATCCATCCAATCACTCAGCTATCCATCCACTTAATATACAACCGCCCACCTATCCATCCATCTGTCCATTCATTCAGTTGCTATTCCAATCCATTTATTTATTTAGAAGAGATAACTACTGTAACTAAAAACTGGTGTGAGCTGCATGGGTGTTTCTAATGAAACAGTAATGATAAAAAGGTAAATTATACGCCATGATAATTTTTGTTGATCCATATTTCCAGGCAAACAAGATGGCTTGCAATTTCAAGTCAAGTCAATTATTCCCCTGAATACAGAAAAGAACTCAATGAACTGGCCAAGAGCAGCCAAGACTATCTTATATTAGAACAGTGTGCTGACCCTAAGAATGATAATCCTTTGAAGAGATGCAAGGATGGCACTGTCTATAGTTATCCAGATGTTCTGCAGGTAAGTGAACGGTGGTGTTATGGTATAATGATGGGATATTTGAAGAAGGTAATTCATATGCTACAGAGGTGAAAAAGTTACAGAGAACTGGTAATTTTTGTAATCAAGCTGTGTTGGTTGAATTCAGCCAAAAAGATCATTTAACGCAATCCAATTCAACAAAGCATTTCATTTCTTATAAGTCGAGTAAGATTTGGTTATTTTAGCCTCAAAATCCAAAAGTATCCTTGGGAATATGATTCTTTGGATGAGGAGAGGAGAGAGGAACTTGGCTTTTCTTGATATAACAACTTTTTATTGGTGGTCTTTATTGATCATAAATTTTCTCTTGCCATTGTGGCTCAAAAGGGTTGCATTAGGAGAATTTCCTTGTGTACTGTAAATAAATTGGCTTATTACACTGTTAGTTGTGTATTATAGCAGCATAATTTATTTCAAGAGTGAAAGCAGCTATATTTATTCAAGCCCTGCAGGGACAAGAAAAAATACAGCTTCACAAGTAAAATTATCCGGCTGTAATACACAACTAGCAGTGTAATAGTTTCATTATCTTACAACACAAAAAACTGAGAAAGAGAGAATGAAAAAACAACCATTTTTATTGTAGACAAGCAAACTTAGAGGTCACCAACTCAGACCCCTGAGGTGAGCTGTGCAAAGGAAAAGGAGAATATTTCCTTACATCGACATCAGCAAAAGAACCATTCAAAACTGGTTCACAGACCGTGTATTATCGCTCTGTAATGTTGCACTCAAAATAAAGTGTCGTAATACATAGGAAATTGAGTGTGTTGTATTAATAATTAGTGATTAATAAACTGATCAAAACAACACCTGTTCTTTCTCTCATCAGAGTGCAACATTTTGCATGGTTATCAGAGGTTTGCGTCTGGGACAAAGTACTCTCATGGATTCATTGATGATGGTATGCTCTATCTATGCAGTCATTAAACATATTGTTATTGTTCCTTCTTAATCAATGACATATGAATTGCTTTTGGTGACAGGAATTAAATGGATGTTTTTAGTAAGTACCACTGACAGTCTAATAATCTTATTTAATTTCTTTTTTCTGCCAGGGATGTATACCAATAGTGATAAGTGATAACTATGTTTTACCATTTTCTGAAGTTCTTGATTGGAAAAGGTATGGAAAGGAGAGCAAATTCGAGTATACACCTAATTGAAAAAACGTAGTCGGGTTCGAGAAGGTCATATCATTGAAGCTAAGACCGAAAAGGATTTTGGGTTCTCTGAAATGTGTATTATATTTGCATATAAACATGTAAAAATGCACCATAGAGCATTAAGTTGGTCAGCCTAGATTAACAACATGCCAAAGCCATGATGCATAGAATGTGCACAGGAAGGGAAAACTGCAATATGCCATGATTTTTTGTCTTCCCATGCTCCCTTCGGTCTTAGCTTTGATGATATAACCTCTTTTTGAACCTGACAATGTTTTTTCAATTAGGTGCAATCAGAAACTACAGCTGTAGATGTAGTTGCATGAACCTTTGTGATAGAAGTAATCCCTCTAGGCTTAATATTTCCTGATTTCAGATTTCAGTTTCATTCTCTTGAGAATGAAATTGAATGAAGTTGAATCCATATTCATGTGTCTTCTCATCTGCAACTGAGACCAACCATTGAACAAAAAAAATTATAGTCTAGGTAATGGCAAGTGGTCTGAAAAAGGAAAACAGTGGATTCGGGTTTCTATCAGCCACTCTAAGGTTGAGGAAAAAGCTGGATCAAGTTGGCATTCCAGTGCATTGTGGGACTGTTTAGGAAGCAAAATAGATGCCATCTTGGAAATTGTGTGTTGTCCCCTAAAACAGCCCCAAAATGCACAGCAATGCCAATTCCACTCAGTTTTTCCCTGAACCTTAAATAGATTATTACTCTACTTGTACTGTTAACTCTGCTCACATGTGATACTGAGTCCAGGCATTGAGTTCACCTGAGCTCAATAGTGATGTAAAGGCAAATACTGCTTCACCACCCTTCTGTCCTGAACTCAATGTAGACTTCCAAATGATGTTTCCCATGCTTCAGATTTTGTCAGTCATAAAACTCTTCAACTTTCTTCATTTTTAATGCACGTGCACATGTATTGTAATTACAGAGCTGCTATTGTCGTACCAGAAGATGATATCCAAACAATCCCAAATCTTCTAAAAGACATTTCTTCTAAAGAAATAGCAGACATGAGACGACAGGTATGATGATCATGATTAACCAAACAATTGATGAATAAAATGCTTTAAATGTAAACTGGAACCCTAAAACGACATCTGGACTGATAAAGTGTCAGGTTATGGCTATAACTTAGTTTATCATATGACCGTGAATCTTAGAGCCTGGACACTAGCAAATCGAGCAATCTGATTGGATAGATCCCATCGCGGATGTGGTCTAGATTCTCCGGTATTAACCGGTCCGATTGCATATTAATCTTACGGCAAAAACATTTTGTCCTTTTCAATGAAAAGTGGTCATATAATAAAACTCTTATTAACCGAGCTTGGTTGGTCTGTACGGGATAATCTTGACCTCGGTCGGGTACAGACCTCGCTGCGCCCGGTCCGTGCATTCCGACCTCGGTCAAGATTATCCCGTACAGACCTCCCGCTCGGTTAATAAGATCTAATAATGGACTGTTCAAGGGAAAAACTGTTCTTTAAAAAGCTTTAGTCTGACTACAGCAAAAAAAAAAGCAGTTAAAGGTTATGTTGACTAATTGTAATAAATTAGCTTTAAATAATAACTTGTTGTTATTTCCAGGGTCAGTTCTTGTGGAATAATTACTTTAGTTCCATGAGTAAAATAGGGCTTACAACACTGAAGATCATCAATGATAGAGTCTATAAACACAGGGCATGGATGTATGAGGTGGGTCATCTATTGCTGGTTTTCATTCATTCCCAAGGGAGTGAAATAACAAGACACTGTGGCCATGTTGGATGATATAACAAAAGAATTCATTGACAATTCTTTGTTAAATCCAACCAAGATAGCGGCTATGACTTCATGTGGAAAGTCAGGTTAGGGACAGTATTCTTCAATGGGCGTTCAATAGAGTTAGATATGTTAGATTTGCACACTCACTAACTCTGACACCTGGAGATACTTGCTAACTCACTGTATGAAGCATAAGGAAAGTCTTGCGGAGAAGTGGGGAAGTGAAAAGAAGATCTTTGAGAAAGTCTGTTAGTTGCATTGGTGTATCTTACAAAAGAATGATATCACATTGTGTAGTTCCAGAAATTATCCATACCCACCCCACAGAGGGGGGGGGAGGGGGTGTCTTTAAAAAATTCCTCCATTGGGGGGGG